CTCCTATTTGTCTCCATCCTTATTTCGTGTTTTCCTCTTCCCCAAGCAGGAGGCACCAAGCTGGGTTGGGCAATGGCCATCTCTCCGCCACAAAAGCAGGTGGCACCTGCAAAAGCTGCTCTGCTGGAGAGGAGGTGGGCCTGCTTTGCCAAAAACTAAAGACTGCTCAGGGAGATGCAATAGGAGTTGGCATCACCCCTATTCCCCTCCTAGGAATAAGAAGGATTTGGGCAGTCACTTCACTGAAACAAAAAAAAACCCCAACTCTTCCTTGTGGGTTCCTACCTGTCTGCTTTGATAACTGAAGGATGGTCACAAATCAGCTTAGTTTTATATCTTGTTTTATGAGAGGGAAACCAAATTCTCTGAAGACTTCGTATCAGATTTTTGTTAGAAAAGCTCCAACGTGGAGGTTTTGCCCAAAGAATTTGACTCATGGCTAGCCACTGGAGAAGTTACCTGGGCTCTGTCAAGTGCCTGACCACATCTGCAGGCACTGAGCACTCCCAAATGTGACCTGTGCAAGCTACCCAGGAGCCAGTGCATGGGCTGGGGCCTTGGCTCTGGTCCCCAAGGCACAGCTCACTGGGGTACGCAAATACCTGTTTATTCATTTACTTCCTTACTTGCTTTTTCTCCCCCTTTCAACAGGGCACTCATTGCATGGCCCTGCACATCTCCTCCCTGCAGCAGCCTGATCCTGGAGACTAGAGACAGAGTAGCACCTCATCATCTTCTCTTCCTCATCAGTGCCAGTGGTGAAGTTACCCCTCTGCATAACACAATCCTCGTGCAAGAAACCAATATTCAGTAACCTTTGGCATCTCAGAGACCATGTATTAGCATTTTTGATCTCATTCTAAATGGCCTGTCATGTCTCTGGCTTGCTACTCAGAAGTAAATCAGGATCAAAAAACTGTTGTCAGAGATGTCTCAATTTTGTAGCATTTGTGACACCTTGCTATCATAGAATCATACAATGGTTTGGGTTGGAAAGGACCTTAATATCATATAGTCCCACCCCCCCTGCCATGGGCAGGGACACCTCCCACTAGACCAGGTTGCTCAAGGCCCCATTCAGCCTGGTCTTGAACATCATCATCATAAATTGGGATTTTTTTTATCTGTGGGTGTTTTGCCTGAGTAATTACATTTCACTGCCAGCAGCAAAGTACATAGTAACCAAATCCAGCCCTTTTCCCACTGATTCAGTAGGATTTGTTCACATGACTGGCAGACTTGGAAACCACAGGTGGTTTAGTTTTCTGTGCATTAGACATCACTTGGCACTGTGAATTCAGGGCCAAATTAGTTAAAGTGCATGCAGATGTTTTCTTTTGTGCAGCTCAATAACTTTACGTCATAGCCTTGAAAAATGTTATTGTAACAGTTTGCCTGCTAGAGGAAAGTATACCAAGACCTGCACTCTATCCATAAGCAAGTTGCAAAGGTCATGTTTTTCAGACAAATCAGATCGTTTCAATATATAGGCTTCTTAATGTTGGTATTTCAAAACAGCAGGAACTCATGCATCCTACTTACTACTTTCCACCACTCTTACTGCTGGCTTGTGTGTTGCAATACAACCAGTACAGCAGACTCCAAGGAGCTAAGGTTGTCGAGGAAAAGTTCAGTTGTAAAAATCAGGGACTTGTGAGAAGAGGCACTCGCTGGAAATATAGCATTTATCACATCATTAGCATTCAGAGCAGTTAGTTAATGCATTATTATTTTAGTCATTTATTAAATTTGAAAATCAAATATCAAACTGATTGTAGTGTCTGCCACCCAGCAGGTACCTGAATAGAGTGTGTGAGGGCGCTAACCGGGAACTGCAGCAGAACCACGTATTCTTATGGAAAGAGACCTGCAGCACCCGAGTATAGCGGTGCCTGTGTGCTATGCGCGCTTGCAAGAAGCCTTCCTGCATCATGTTGTTTTTCACGGAATTTCAATTAAAGTATGATTTTCATTTCTGAAAGTGTGCTAAAAAAATAGGAAGCTTTATAACTAGGAACAGGTTGGTAGTGTTAAATCTTATACTATTATAAACAGGTAAATCTAGAAACAAAGTGTTAGTACTAAAAGTCTGACAGAAAGAGGATCTCCTTGTTTTCTCTCTATGAAGTTAATATAGTTATATATTCATGCTTTTATTTATTTTGATATGTATTTTATCTCTCAACATTTGTTTTCTGCTGCAGTTTTACAAGGCTTCATTATAAGCTTTCCATTCCTCAAGCTTTTCCATGAGTTGATACAATCTCTGGTTTCTGCTTCTTTCTTGTGTTTTCCTTTAAATAATTGAACTTATATGTCACATCCATAAAGAAAATTGCTGATAATTAGCAGAAGTACAATTAGGAATAAATCTCTGCTAAGGAACAAGCCAAAGTTCAGTGTCTTTATGCAAATGCCAATTGTTAAAAAGATGTCTTGTGTAATCAGGAATTATACTGACAAGTGAAGAATCATTTAATTAATGAGAATAGAGCAATCATTTGGATGGCTCGTTCTACTACTGCCTGAATAAAAGAGAGAAAATAGCCCTGCTCAGGGATTAGAGCTGCTGCTGGAAGAAATAAACCCAGCAATGTTGTTCTGTTACTGCCTTGTGTAGATAGTACAGTAATTCCTAAATACAAAAACACATATGCCAAATGTTTGGATTGGGCACTGAAAATTCATCTTCTATTATTCCACAAGAATGTATACAAGAGAGTTCTGTTTATGCTGGTTATCTGCTGCTCTTGCTAACTTGACAGACTAATGTTTGGGCCAAAATACTTACATAAGTCCTATTGCAGCAAGAGCCAGAATTATGGTGAGTTATGTCTGTAAGCACTGTATGCCATGATAGAGAAAAGTGTATGGGCTGCTTGCAGTTGCTGAGGAGTAGTTATGGTAGGATAGGGCCTCTGGAGGTCTCCAGCCCAGCCCTCTGCTTAAAGCAGGTCCAGTTAGGTCAATTTGCTCTGGACCTTGCCCAGTGGGCCTTTGAATATAACCAAGGATGGAGGTGCTACAAATTCTGTGTTCCAGTGTTTGACCTCTCCCATTTTCCTTTCATCTAGTCAGAATTGTTCATGTTCCAGTTTGTCCCAGTTACATATCTTCTTGTTACTGGGTCTGGCTCTGGCTTCTCCGCATGCTCCCAGTAGGCAGCAGTGACATCAATTCTGTGTCTCCAGTGCTCCTCTGAACATGGATGTCTCGTAACAGCTATTCTGTTTCTTGCAACAGAACAGAGTCCTCCCGTCTTTGACTTATTCCTCCCCCCTCAGGCAGCTTTGGGATGGGGCTTCCCTAAGTTGTCATTGGGTTTGGGACAATTCGAAATATAGCCCAGGTAACTCTGACCTTGTTTGCCATTCTCCAGGGCTGGACCTTCAGCAACGTACTGTCACAAGGCATTGCATAGCACTGCTCAGCAGTAACTAAAGCATCCCTGAGTTATCAACAGTTGCCAGCACAAATCCAAAACATGGCCTTATACCAGCTACTATGAAGAAAATCAACTTTACCCCAACCAAAACCAGCATAGGATATGCCATAGAAAATTAAGTGGCTTCATTGACATAACTACCTGGTCAAGTGGCATTAGAGATTGAATGATCTCTGTATGGAGTAGTTGCTCTGTGCTTCCCAGGTGCATTCAAACTCCCTTTCACACTACTGTATTTTTCTGAGGTTGAGGTAGACCACTGCATTGAGCTGTTATGGTAGCCCTGTGTCAGTGGAACAGCTTTTCTTCCCCCTTCAATGCAGTCTTTGGTAGCAACATCCCAGATCTCTGCTGCTTCGCATGCACTTGGATTTTTTGCATGCTGTGTGAAATGATTGCACAAGTAATTGTTTGCTTCCAACACTGAAATGAGAAACAAATTTATTACATGAAGGAAAACACTCCCCTTGTTTTATTGTTTTTAAGTGTAATCATTGAAATTTTGTTTGGTTAACCAGAGGCACCCAGCTGCTACTTCAGTCGCTGCTGGATGTTTGTTAAAAAAACAATCTCCTCAGGAACAAACAAACTGGATATGAAAATCTTCCTTCAAACAAAATTCTCGTTTCTCAAACTGTTCATCCACAGGAAGTCTAGCTAAGTGCACAAACACTGCAAGCTGCCCAGTAAATCTTCGGCAGTGACTGGTTATGTAGGTGCAAGGATGAGTGAATTCTGCAGCAAAGAACCTTCCTATGGAAGTCACTTACCAGCAGGTCGCATGCTCCCATTGAGCAAGGTTAGTTTAGGTTGTCACGGTTCTGCTCTGTCTCCAAAGCAGCAAGTAGGCAACCTGATAAAGGTTTGCAATAAGGCAGAATAGGTACAATACAATAGGTACAACACAATAGGTACAACAAGGTTTACAATAAGACCTTTACAAAGGTCTACAGTAAGGTGGAATCATAGAATAGTTTGGGCTGGAAGGGACCTTCAAAGGTCATCTAGTCCAGCCTCCCTGCAATGTACAGGGACCTCTTGAACTAGATCAGGTTGCTCAGAACCACATCCAGCCTGGCCTGGAGTGTCTTCAGAGATGGAGCATCCACCACCCCTCTAGGTAGCCTGTGCCAGTATTTTACCACCACTCCACCCTCGTTGTCCTGTCGTATACCTGAACTGTATTTTCCTTTTTTTTTTTTTAATTGAAGTATCTCTTCTCCAGTGATTAAAATGCAAAAAACGTGTTGTCAAATATCTAATGCACTACAAAAATCAATTGGCATAGTCTGTAGTGGAAAACAGTTAAGGAAAAAGAGACTTACGTGTGCTTTCCTGTATCTTGAGTGCAGCATAGATACCCATATGCTCAGTCTTACAGGCAGCCCAGCATTCAAGCTTTCTTTTCTAGCTAAATCACTCCATCTGGATTCATCGGCTGCTCAGCTTTCCAAGGCGTATGAGAAGGTGCGGGTAGTTGGATTATATCCTTGTGCTCTCAGCTGCCATCTCCACTGCCCTACTGTAACCCCTGACTCTGTGCTTTCTCCTCAAGGATTTTGGAGCTGCAGCAGAATGGCGACATGGACATACTGAAGCATAAGTGGTGGCCAAAGAACAGTCAATGTGATCTTTACTCATCTGTGGATACCAAACAGAAAGGAGGTGCCCTGGACATAAAAAGTTTTGCAGGTGTTTTCTGCATCCTTGCTGCTGGGATTGTCCTATCCTGTTTCATTGCAATGTTGGAAACATGGTGGAATAAAAGGAAAGGCTCCCGAGTTCCGTCAAAAGAGGTATTAGACCCTCCATTTCTACTGGGGAGTTTTCATGCACCCTAAAGATTGCTGCCTTGACTTTATAGCATTAGAGAGGGTGGGGAATCAAATTCAGAGATGTATCCTTAGCTTCCCAATTTTTTAAGGTAAATGTTGTTCCTCAAAATCTCTGGCTATTCTTTCTAAGAAAAACTTGAATGAAAAAAAATTATATTGACGATGTATAAATATGCAACTATTCTGAGTAAAACACAACTGTTACTTGCAGAATAGTACATTATTAATACATCAATGTTTTGTTCATTATTCCCACTGGCGAAAGCTAACTTACTGAGCCAGTAAGTTCAAAGGTTTCTTAGCTTCTTCTTGAAAAACATATCTCCTAAGCTCAGTGGCTGAGTCTTTCAAAATAGATTTGCAAAGTTTAGCCCTTTAATTAGCAGTTTAAATAAGCTTGTCCCCATTTTCAGAAATGTTAACCTCTTGAGAGTTCCATGAACTTCAGTTCTCATTATTTCCTCTGAAGTCCAGGGAAGCAAGAGCACGGTAGATTTTTCAGATTAAGGCCATGCTTATCTCTGAAATCTACTACAGGCTTGTTTCAGAAACCCTTGGGTGGAGACCACGGGGAGATACGTTACTTTACACCAGAAATGAGTTTGCTTGTACACCTGCACGTGTAATGCCTTCCTTCCCGTGGCAATCTACTTGTCCCTTTACCAGCCATCTGAGCCTTATTGCAGTCTTACAACAGATTTTTTTTACCTTCATGATTAAGTTTTTAGCTCTACAAAATACTACAAAAACATTGGGAAAAAAAGAAGTTACAAAAACGTACTTGGCAGCAATGCCCAAAGCTGAACCTAAAATTGAGCTTTAGTGTAGCACTATCAATTACATCTTTTCTATCTGTGTAGCTTGTGGGGTATTGCTGTTAATTTGTGTGCAGTGGTCTCACCTTCTCTGCAGTTTCTCCATTGTGTTTATTTCCGCTTAACCTAATGCTGTGTAATCAGGCAGGATTAATTACACTACCTAATTAGACAGCATTGGCACTGATGTTAGAATGTTTAATCTTTTCTTGCCTGTTTTAATTCCCAAGCTTTTTTTTTATTCAAGATCTGGACCAGACCATTATTAAAAGAAAAAGAAAAAAGAAAGAAAAAAACAATCTCAAGTGTTTAAATTGGGTTCCTCAGGAATGAAAACCATAGAGTTTCAACTGGTTAATTATTTTAAAAACTAAAATGTACTTGATTGTTGTTTACCCAAACTTTCAGAACTTCTTCATGTTTATCTGGTGCAAAACAAAAACGAGTAACAAAGGAAAAGAAAAAAACAACATGGATATTTTATATAAAATTTCCTATTTCAATTTTCAAATGCAGAGAAATTCAGGTGTATATTTTCCACAAATGGTATAATTTGGCCTCCTTGATCTTTGTTACATGGTCATTAGCTTAGCATTTAAAATTGCATCTCAACGCTAAATTGAAAAGCTTGGCTCAAAACTGAGTTTAACGTGGATGTGTGTGCTGAATGTCCCCACTATCCAGGATGTGGGGGTCATTCAGCAAAGAAATACATCTTAACTAACTTTCTTAAAATTCATTTTAGCTTCCATGAAATCCATTGGCTCTTCCAGGCCACTAGTCCAGAATCGGGGGTCAGATTGGGCCAGTTTGTGGTCAGCAAGCCAACCCTTTTTCCTGGTGGCTGCCATCTTGTGCTCCAGAATGCAAGCATTTATACTGAAAAAAATTGTCTTATGGTTGCGAAGATAACATTTCGGTCGCGTACCAGAAGTAACCCATTCAGTGATGTCTGCCTGAGTCTGCAGACAGCCTTAAACGGTAGCTCTGAGAGAAGTATCAACCGCCCCAGTAATCTCAATGGGATGTTGACTCTGAAGCCTGATGATAATTTAAATGTGAAAACTGCTGAATATTTCACTACTGATCACACAAGAGAGAAGAGGAAAGATCATATTATGGAGATATGCACAATCTTACTGTGAGTGGGTCTCATTTTGGTGTATCAGTTGGGTGGAGATCGGGTTGTGGGCTAAGCATGGGAGAATATCACCGCTTATATATTTTCACTGGTCTGACCCTAGCCCCAAATGCATCTCTGTAAAAGAAAGATGAATATTTTGAGTAACCTATAGAGGCTCAGAAGTGATGAAATTCCAGTCTTTTAATGATTGGCTTTCTAAATTAGAAAGTGTTTCTGATTTTTTTATTCTTTTTTTTCAAAATTAGAAACAAACAACAAAAATAAAACCCCACAAAAATATTTATAAAAATTTTTAAAAAGGAAAAATATTTAGGACTGTACCTCAGAGACATAGTCATGACTTGCACGTGTTAACAGAGCCTCTGTTTATTTCTTTTGCTTCTGATGTGGCCTCAGTTCTCCTGCATCTGTATGCAGCTCCAAAGTTTTTAAGAGAGAGCGTTTGGTGAATGCGTTTGGTTTTGATGTCAACTGTGTAGTTGTTATGTGCATCCATGTCTATGTCCACATACGAATAAACTGTAGACAGAAAGCTAAGTCCGAGAAATGAGCACTGCATTTTTTCCTTCCCATGATGAGCTCAAACCAAAGCCTCTGTGGTCAGCGATCGTCCAGTCCCTGGAAGATCCCTGATGCCCCATTCCCTTCCCCTTTTCCCCCAGTTTGTCACCCTGTCCCTACCCTCAGAGGGTAAAATCCCAGAGTAGAGCTGGCCTGTCAGTCTCCTTCCAGTCAGACTCTGTGTTTGGTGTGGTACCAGTGCAAATATTCAGTGATCCATATTGCTAAGCAGATGAACTCCTGCAGTTTGTTCTAGGTGTGGACTCTTTCAGAGTACTTGACTTCATTCCTAAACAAAGGAGGGATCTCAAGCCCATACATTATTCTAGGAGTTCTGCCATTGATTCAGGGAGCTCTGGATCAAGCCAGTCAGTGAATTGCAGTAATCAAGGCTGGAAGTCATCAGTGCACATCTATCGGCTGCCTAATTATCCTCTGTGAGGTCCTAGAGTGTGAGATATTTCTAGTGGCCTGGAAGAGCCAGTAGATTTCACAGAGATTAAGGTAAATTTTAAGGTTAGTTGTAATTGGGTTTTGTTCTGAATTAGCTGCACTGCCTAGACTGAGGGAATACCCCTGCTCGTGTACACTTAATGCTGCTTTGAATTAAGCTTTGCAGTTCAGTCGAAATATGTATGTGCAATGCAGGTGATTTACTATGTCACCCAGGACTTTCTCCTCTTTCTTAACTTCCGTGCTTTTAAATTCTCAATTATAACAACCAAACCTGTTTAATTGAGTTCTCTGGGAGGAGAGATTTAAGAAGGAAAGGGGACAGAGGTAAGAAGAGGGGTGATAAAATAAATACCCCAGGTTGCCTTTTCTTCTTACCCACAAGAGCGTAATTCCATTACAATCAATGGAATTGCTTCTTTGTACGTAAAGGGAGAATTAATCCCTCCGTTGGCACCTTAGTTGAAAATTGCCTTGTGTACTGCTTTCTGTGTGATGTCCGTGAGTCAGTAGTGCTTGGTTTTTTGTCTGGAAGTTCAGCTTTTCTACACCACATTTTATATTACAAAGGCAAAAAGCGACATGAGATGTTTTTAGCCTTTCCATAAGCCCTGAGAGGATGGTAAAGACAGCAACCTCATCCCTCGGAGCCTCCCATGTTGACATCCAAATTTAGTCTTCATTGCAGAGTTGAAAAACTGGCATCATCCCAGACATCTGAGATTATGCTTTGCTTTCGTGGCAGAAAGTTTACTGTTATTCAGCTGTTGCTAGTCCAGTCCAAGCCCTAGCTCAGAGCCTGGCTTTTCCTGACAGAAACCCACTGGAAGTGCTTGGAGGGAGCCATGGTATAAGTTTTGCTTAGCCCACTCAGCTTCAGGGAGTGGGAGTGTTTGCTGGTGACACTCAGAGATGCCATCAGCCAAGAGCCAGCTGTAGTTAATTGTGCGTTGTGCTTCCCGAGCAGTTCTGATCGCACTGTGAAGCTTCAGCCCAGCACAAATGGCAATGGTGAGTGGTGCCTCTTGTTTTTCTCATTCCCCAGGACGACAAGGAGATTGACCTGGAGCACCTCCACAGGCGCGTGAACAGCCTCTGCACAGACGACGACAGTCCCCATAAACAGTTCTCCACCTCGTCGATTGACTTGACCCCGCTGGACATTGACACTTTACCCACACGTCAGGCACTGGAGCAAATCAGTGACTTCAGAAACACTCACATCACCACAACCACCTTCATACCAGAACAGATCCAGACTCTGAGCCGCACGCTGTCTGCTAAAGCCGCTTCAGGTTTCTCCTTCGGCAGTGTGCCCGAGCACCGAACTGGCCCTTTCAGGCACAGGGCACCCAACGGTGGCTTTTTCAGAAGCCCCATCAAAACAATGTCATCTATCCCTTACCAACCAACTCCTACTCTGGGGCTGAATATCGGTAGTGATCCAGACCGAGGCACCTCTATCTGAGCATCAGACCAAGTTTCTTCACTGTTTGTTTTTTAGGACTCCCTTTGCAAGGAGCAGCTGTAATATCATGGGACTAACATGGATGTAACCTTTCTTCTTTTCCTTTTTTTTTTTTTTGTTTTGTTTTGAGGGGGTTTTCCTTAAATTTTTTGGGAGTTGTTTTTGTTTGGGGTTTTAGGTTTTCTTTTTGGTTGTTATTTTTAAATTTTATTTAAGAATGAGGGTTATTAGCAACAACTCTTCCTCCTCCTCTTCTCTGCTTTCTCAGTCTGGTCTCCTCTGTCTCCCCTTATTCTCTTTACTACTTGAATCGCTTATTCTTTAGTTTATTGCCGCGTTAGGTTTTGGTTATTTCAGGCTTTTCATATACTTTAAATATAGGAAACGTGCAGCAATTCATGCATAGAAAAACCCTGAGGATTACTTTACAGAAGGGCATTCGCTCCTCCTCCCCCGCTGCCTTTTTTTACTATAATTGCAATAACTTAAGTCCTTTCCATATATTCTGCTGCATCCAGTCAGAGCTCCACTGCTGTGTGTCCTTTTAACTGTGGACCAAAGGCAAACCCTGCAGTTTAAAAAAAAAAAAAAAATGGAAAAAACAAAAAAAAAAAAGGGCAAAAAGAAAAAAGAAAAAAAAAAAGAGAAAACAAAACAAATGAAGTTAAAAGACCATTCAGGCCCCATCCCATAATACCAGAATGCAATTTTGTAGGATTACAAAAAGCCATTACTATGCCAGTAAAACTACAGTTAAATCTACTTTTGCACTGCAACAGTGCATATGACCTTTATGTGATTGTACAGTGTTTAAAGTTTTTCTTATGTACAGTAAACTGTATCATATGGCAGAAGCCTCTCTTGTGTTAAATAAATTAGTATCTCATACATATATATATACATATATACACACAGGTATGTATATATATATACATGTATATATAGCTAAAAGATGGCAGCCGTTGCTATTGCAATTCATTTAATAAAGCTTTAGTAAAAACGTGTTGTATACAGGAAAGATGTACAGTGCAGGGGGTCTTTTCATTTAGAAAAGACAGGTTGCTTTAACATTATTCGGACTTGCATCGTTTGCCAACAGAGCATATTTTATACTTTTTTATTAGAACATCTGGGGCAATTTAACATTTGTACCTAGATGTAACTCCTTTGGTTAGGTTTTGCATTGGCTATTGAGCATTCTATAAGGCTAACCTTGATAATTTTACTTTTAATTAATTAGACAAATGGAACTCTGTCTTAGGTATACCATGTTCATGAACAACTAATGTAGCTCTAGAGAAGTTTAAACATAGATCAAAGGTTAATAAATTGTTTTCCAGATCAGTACAGTTGATCAATACAATAATGATGTTAGTGGAAAAAAAAAAAGCCCTCAAGAAATACAGATGTGGCCTTAATTATAATTATATATTGTTCTAGGGATAAAAAAAAGATGAACGGGCACTCATTTTAACCCTTTATATGTTAAGTTAGGTGTAGAGGAGCTATGTATTTTTTACATTAGTGCCAACTGTATAGAACAAGAGAAAGAACAGCAGTGAGAGCAAAACCAGTGCCTACTTTGGCACCAGCTTTTTAAAGTAACACTGTTACCTGTTAGAAATGTAGGAAGAGCTTTCAATTTGTAATCCTTAAAACTAAAAATGCAGTTAAGTAGAAAGCAAGCAGTTTATCCTGTGAGTTTTTTTGGTTTGGTTTGGGTTTTAATGCAACCATACACTTATTTTAACCTAACTCATTCTTTGGCTAGGATTAATAGGAATCAGCCTATGTGATTTGCTTTAGGATAAATTAAAAGGTATATTCTTCAGATCTATTCTATTTTGATGCTAATTCTGTTCTGGGGGAGCATCTTGTACTGTCACTGTTTTTTGTACTAAATCTACAAATATTGTCTACTGTGTAAGGCAGAACAAATTCTTATCGTCCAGAAGGCCATTTTGTTTCCAGGGTAGCAAGTGTCTAGAAGCATGCACAACTTGCTTCCCCCTTGTAACATTCATGAACTCATCCACATTTCTGAGTAAAATAATAATAATTTAAAAAAAAAAAAAAAAAAAAGAAAATTTCTTTCCAACAAGCTACGTAGGGACATACCAGATGTTGCAGTGATTTTAGCTATTAAAAAAACAAACTGTTAACCATGTACAATATTTAAAATAGGCCTATTTTGATGTGTTGCCTATTATACAGATACACAAAACACTTTTTGGAGGCCTCAGTTACAAGTGGCAGAGCTTTCTGTGTATAATTTGTCTAAATAATTTGTCTAATAAAATTGTTTTCTAAACTTGTGTTTCCTCCTGTTTAATCCTGAGTGCTCTGGGATTTTCAGTGCATAGCAAGGTGTCCACTTGTGGGTGTTTTTGCCACACCATTACTGAAAGGGATTTAGCCCAGGGAGATGGGATGAGCTCGCCAGGCTCAGTGTCAGCTCAGTATAGAGCATCCATGTAAATCACCAAGATTTACCATGTTTATCTGCATCAGGCATAGGTTTCAGAATATATATATGGACAGCATTTTGGAGAATGATTGTAGAATTCATTGGCACTGACATGCACACAATGTGATTTGTAGAAATACTGCATCCCACCTCCATGCTTTTTAGTGTAATCTGGAAATTGTGTTGGAACATGGTCATTATTTTCATAGAATCAAATTCTGCCATCTGTATTTACACAGAAGTTAGTTTGCTCTGACACTGGACATATGCTATCTTTAGATTTGACAAAAGTTCTAGTGTGAGAGAATTTAGCCCATATTTCGTTATGGCCTTCTCACTCCTTAAGCTTCATTAACATGTTAAACAATGGCCTAGTCATTAGTGAGTCATGCAGAATGTACTGCAGTAACATCAGCCATGATGATTTAACTTGCAAGCATCCAAAGCTTGTCTGCTGGCTTTTTACCTTCAGTATATTTCATTCACAATATTTTTGACAGTTTTCTATTAAGCTTAGCAGGCATTCAGGGGATTTCATTTTATAGTTTCAAAAATACATTGGCAGGAGTCCTCAGTTCATTGCTACATTAAAATAAAAATCTGAATCCAGATAACTTAAAAATCTAAAGAAGTTAGATTATTGAAAGTGACTTGAGGTTAAACTTTAAAGGTTCCTCATGCAGTAGTACCAGTAGGCTCATACGTCAGTGGGCACTGAGTGCCTAGCAACAGGGTGCTGGACACTTTTATAATCAGGCTACTTTTATTATTGCATAAAATTTCAGCTGAGACAAGCTCTGCTTATTTTTTGAGGCAGAGCTGTGGCAAACTGAGACACTGACCCTACAAGCCGTTATGCACATTACAGGGTGTCTAGTAGGGGTTCCCTTAGTTACAGAGATGTTTGCATGATCAGGATCCTAGTTTTAAGCTAGTCCTGATCTGTAAAGTAATCGTGACGTCTTGGGAAGAGCTATCCTGCTGGCATCAGATGTCATTCACTTTGTCTTTAACATAGGCATTGTCCCTGTCACTTACGCTCACAGACACATCTCTCTAGACCCACAAGGTTTTACAGGTACTACGTACGTTCTCTCTGTAACAAGCTTCATAAAGGTGAAACCTATGTGACCCTTCTCTTTTTTAAATAAAAATACGGTGAAGTAATGGTGTTAAAGACTGTCAAGTGTGTCTGTTGCTGTAGCTCCACTGGAAATACAAGCCAACTGTATGTAAAGCTGAGTTGTTTGCCTGGTGATTCCAGTCATACAAACATTTTGATGTACCAGCTACAGACAAAAGCAAGCAGTGGAAGAAAATTTATTTATTTATCCCATCCAAAGAATCGCTTAGTAAAATGTTTCTATTGACTAACGGTAAAATACATAGACATAAAAAATAGCCCTGCTGCCCAATCAAGTGAGTGATTGTAGCTGTGACTCTAGCTGTCACTGACTCAGCTGCAGCATGGCCAGAGCCAAAGTCTCCTGGGTTTCCCTCCTGCCCTTGCAAAACTGAGCGCTAGTATTGTTTCCCTAAATAGGTCACATTTTTACAAGCATCTTTTCTTCTTTCTTTACCCCTCATGTAGGATGCTATGAAGTAATGAGAATGTAAGGCTGCTTTTCTGTGAACACTCAGTGCAGCAGGGTCAATAGGGCAGACTCAAGATTAATACCCCAGACAAGTTTAATTTCTCAAATCTGCACAAAGGTGACGACATGAAAAGTAGCCAGGAGCATGCTGTGTGCATGCTCATGTGTGTGTAGGTAATGAAAAACATAAAATAAAGCCTCTGAAACAACAACGGCATCAATAGCCCCACAGCTCTGCTTTACCCGTTTAAATCTCAGTCCCAATACCCATGTTTCTTCTTCATTCTAAAGAGCTGTTTTGAAATAAATGTCAAAATCAACTACGTGCTCCTCAGTACGGGTCATAGACATAGTCTTTGATAAACTCTGAGACGTGAACACACACATCATGTGTCACATCAAGACCAGTGAGCAACTGTGAACACACCATCACAACATATCAGCTTGTCGTGTCTCACTGCAGGCATCATTCATGAGGTCAGAAATAGAAGCCTCCAAAGGATGGTCAGTACAGGCAAAGTGATTCACAGCTTAATGAATTCCTAACCAAAAAACTGTACCAATGCCCCACATTACAGGAGCCATGAGTTTCATGGGAAAAAAATTACCTTTCAAGAGGTATAGTTATAAAAATAAATTTTCTATCTTTCAAGACTTACAAAATCTGTCCCCCCATTCCGTCCATCACAGTGCCATGACACTTTGTGTGTGCTACACAGTTTATTTCTGTAACATTCGTCAGAAGGAAGGAAAATATTACAGCTGGAAAACTGAACTGTCAAGTCATTAACTACTGTGCTCCAGGTCACACTGGAAATCTGAGGTAGAAACAAGAATTCAGCATCTCAGAACCAGTTAGCTGCTCTATGGGGAAGAATAAATCTTTCTGCCTTGAATGTTCAAGACAAGGACTTTGAAGATAATGGGGCAAGAGAGGCAAGCAGATAGCCAAGGGAGGGTTGCACTGCTCAGTGGGTTGGCAGTGGGAAGAGGCAATGGTTGTCCTGTTCACAGGCCAGAA